TGATGCTTTAAAAAAATAGTACAACACCCCATTGCTGTAACAAGTCCAAAAGTTATTTCAGCTTTTGTGATTTTGAACTATATCACTGCTTTCCCATGATATAGGATGTTAACAAGCTTATGGGAGAAAGTTTGTTTCAGAATGCTGATACCGTTTATTTTTACATTTATTTTGTCATTTATAATGTTTGATATCAAGTAATCGTCTGTGATATGAAATAAATTGAATCACGTATATTGACGCTTTCAATTGGCTGAAGGCCACTGGGGCAGAGCCCTGATGGAATTTCAAATGTGTTTTGTTTTATGGCAAATTTACATGTCACGACCTATCCAACTTGATGATCGGATGTGTAGCAGTTTCAAAACAATAATCACAACATTCGTGTTGGCCAATTAAATATTTAAATAATGATGATGTTTATGTGGAAATGTATCCTCGACTAAACAATTTTCACAATGTGCAGTATATCGTATCTACATAGGTTAAAATAATATTATTGATTCATTTGAACATTAATTACGCATCAAGCAGTTTCATTATACGATTAGATACAAATTTGACTTAGGATTATAACCTGAAAAAGTCAAAGCCAAAGTCCTTTATTTTTGTTAACCTGATTTAAAAAAAAGGGGTTTTCGCAAGATAATGACTTTTGGTACCATTTGCCTCCGTTTAATAACTGATCAACGCTGTTTGGCGAAATAATATTACATTTGGATGGTAAAAATGTAACTGGCCTAAGCGTTTATTTCAAGCTACGGCCTGATTCATACGTTGAAGTACAGTCCTACTATACTAATATTACAAATGAAAGTTTGTGTGTTTGTTTGGGGTTCATTTCACTCAATAACAATTCATTGGGCACATCGGGATTAGGCTGAAATTTGGCATGATGATAACATTTTCCTGATTAAAATATAGGCTTGTTATTAACTCAAAACTTTTTTCTCCTTCTTGCCTTTTTGAATATCTCTCGTATGTATTAGAACAATAGCACAATATGCCTCAACGAACCACGAATTATTACTGGGAAAGGTGAACGAAATGCATGTTGTAAAATGTGACGTGGACACCTGGTGCAAAGTATTTGGCCGATTGTTTAATATAAACAAACCCATAACAGTCCAGTACTGGGAACTTTAAAGAAAATATTAGGGAACAGAATACAGGGGTGTCCCAAGATTTGATCCTAAAAGGAAACAAAACTTCTAAATATAAGATATCATTACAGTGACACAATATTTTAATTTAAGTTAGTTTCCGATTTCATTCTCATATCCTAGGCGGTTTAGAGCCAATATTACTATAATACTAGGCATACTCTATTATGCGTTCAGGAATAATTTTATTTACGGTATTTATTTTTTAGTCGAAATCCCGGATGTTTTAAGGTTTTGCCGAAACCCCTCCCCCCGGACGTTTTTTATGTACCTACCAAAAAAGAGGACGTGTCCGGGAAAATGAGGACGTCTGGGATCCCTCTGTAGTTTGAAAATGAATTACTAAATGAGAACTTACTTATTTTAAATACAATATCATACAGGTAATATCATACCTTGAAGGCTATGTTGCTGTTGGTTTTTATGTAGCAGAAATTATTTATTTATTATTATTTATGATTTATATCATCGGTTATTTAGGTTTGAGATTTAATGGCTTCTGTGTACAGACATGAGAGCCAGCCAACACTTAGTCTGTCTTTTCCTCACGTAGAGTAGGCTATTAGCAAGGCTGTTTTCACTGTTTTCACTGTTTTCAGTTCTCACATTTACTTCTCTCTCATCAGCAAGGTCAGTTCAATTTTCAATTGCCAGTTCAACCATAAACACCATTAAATGATGCAGTACTTTCCTACTTATAAATAGCAAACCATCGAGAAAATTGCAGCAAAATTCAGGAAAACGTGTTTGAAAATACTTATTTCAGGAAAATTTTGGTGGGGGGAGTTTCAACCCCTCTGACACCCTGTTGTAAATGGACTTAAATTATGTAGAATGATAAAGAGAAAGGTGTTTTAGGTACAAAGTTTTACTCAATACAAAACCACAACATAGCTTTCTACAAAACACATCTGGTATCCATGACAACTAACTTATACATAGAACACATGTGATACCAAAATGAACTATTCATACAAATCATATTTCAACACCCTCCTTATTTGTGGAATCCCTGGAACTTAATGCAGTCTCTGAAATTTTCACAGTCAAGCCTTTGTTGGAGAATAGGTGAAAATGTTTCGTCATAATCTGTTCCCCTCCTTTGATCGAATCCTTTGACAATTTTTCCCTCCTTTGGTCGAATCCTTTGACAAGTCACCTGACCCTTGTCATTTTCCTTTGATTTGAAAACCCATTTACAGTTTAAAGGTTTCCTCAAGGCTGGGGGTTCGACCAATTCCCAAGTCTTATTTTCGATTTGAGACTTAAACTCTCGGTCCATAGCATTCTTCCAAGAGTCTTTGAACTCACTATTCAATGCTTCTTCGCGAGATATTGGATCGGATAGCTCGCCAGAGAAATAAGTAACATAATCGTTCAACGCAGCTGGGAGGTTTCTGACGCGCTGCGGTCGAGTTGTTGTGTCCGGAATAATGTTCATGTCAGTAACATCAGTAACATCGTCGTTACTTCGGTTTACACCAGATCCTGTTGGAAGCACATCATCATTATTGGACACATCAGGACCGGTTTGTGTCTGACCACTAGTACTGTCCTGACTATCAGACAAACTTCCTGTTGGTTCGGGAAACACATAAAAATCTAAGTCTTTACTCACATTTTTCAATAAAGAACTTCCCCATTGATTTTCAGAAAAGGTAACGTCTCTAGATATGAAAGTTATTTTCTTCTGAGGATCATACAACCTGTACCCTTTACTAAACTGACAATAACCAACAAATATACAGGGAGTAGATCGTGGACTAAGTTTTTTATGTTTCTCGGCAGGAATGTGAGCAAATGCCTTACAACCAAAAATTCTGAGATGTTGTAGAGTAAGCTTGTTACCTGACCACACTTGTATTGGAGTTGGTTCCACGGACCTGCATGGTGATCTGTTCAGAAGGTAAGCAGCAGTATTCACAGCTTCAGCCCAAAAACTAGATGGAAGCCCAGACTCTATCAGCAAACATCTTGCTCGTTCTAGGAAGGAACGGTTGAGACGCTCTGCCTTTCCGTTTTGCTGAGGTGTGTAAGGACATGTAGTTTGATGCACAATACCTGATGACTTAAAAAACTCAGTTAAGTTGCGATTACAGTACTCCGTACCATTATCTGTACGCAACACTTTTATCTTCTTGTCAGTTTGTTTTTCAGCATACTCTTTGAACGTTTTAAAGTGACCATTGACTTCGTCCTTTGATTTTAAAAAATAAACAAAACACATGTGACTGTAGTCATCTAAAAAGGTCAAAATATACCTAGACCCACCAAGACTATTCACTTCCATAGGACCTACCAAGTCAGAATGCACTAGCTCCAGATAATGACTGCTTTTAGACTCACTCTTAGGAAAAGGTAAACGATGGCTTTTTCCTAACATACAGATATCACAAATAGTTTCTGGCTTACTACCAGAAATGTTGATATCATCAGCCAAGCCATCAACTAATCTTGTAAGGCTATCGAAATTCAAATGTCCCATACGCTGATGCCAGAGCGTTAAGCCACTGCTTTGCATGGATAATGCAGATGTGTTCATAGGCATATCCAACTTAAACAGGTTGTTTATTAAACTAGCAGAAGCAATGAGCTGTCCTGTTGAATTGAAAACTTTGGCTCCATCACTATTGAATACCACAGAGTTTCCTTTATTTACAATTTGACTCACTGATAAAAGATAAACTTTTAAGTTAGGCACAAAATGTACATTACTTACATTTGCTTCCGAGACCTCACCAGAAATACATATTGGAAGCTCCAAATCACCGACGGTATCAGTCACCATTGTCTCATTATTTGCTGTGGTGATCGTTAGTGCTTGGCCTTTTCTTGCGTTCAGAAGCATATTAGCGTCAACACATAAATGACAAGATGCACCGCTGTCTAAAAAGAACTCATTATTAACGCCCGGTTGCATTGAACATGCAGCAAAGAGTGACATATTAGATTTGCCAGAGTTTACGTTATTTTTGCTCACTACTCTTGTAGATGTACAGTTCTTTGAGATGTGACCGTAAACATTGCATTTATAACATCTCGGACCTTTCTTCACATTTTTGTCCGAACTACTTATGTTTCTGTTCTTTTGATAGACTTTGTGAACTGTCCCTCTTGAACTGGAACCATACAGTGCAGAATCAGTTCCTGCAAAAGTCATATCACGTTGTACTGGAGACACATCTTGCAATAACTTTGTTTTTATTGCATCCGCCGTGACTTTATTGCCTGAAGATTCAATGCCCATTATCATTGGTTCATACCGGATGGGTAAACCAGCTAGTAAGATTGTTCCAACCCATTCATCGGTTACCTGCAGACCCACATTCAGCATGTTTCTTATCCTGTTCTACACCAGATACACAGTCCCACAGATCCAAATCTTCCAGGTAAGCTTGTACTGCAAACTTCCATGTATCAAAATTCTCACGACCTTTAAGCCTTTCAATTGGTAATGAATTTTGAGTCATATTGCTGTTACAAACTTATGAAGTTGGTATTCTTTAAATGAAGCACTGAATAAAATATCCTGGGCCCATAACCTGTTGTAAATGGACTTAAATTATGTAGAATGATAAAGAGAAAGGTGTTTTAGGTACAAAGTTTTACTCAATACAAAACCACAACATAGCTTTCTACAAAACACATCTGGTATCCATGACAACTAACTTATACATAGAACACATGTGATACCAAAATGAACTATTCACACAAATCATATTTCAACACACCCCCCCCCCCCCCTCAACGGGTACGGCATTGCATAGCCTTTAGGAATGGGCGAGTTAGTTACATTTTAATATGCAAATAAATAAAAAGAAAACCATGAATCAGAAATAATATGCGTATTTATTTTGATTAAATAAAACATTTAATATGATCAAAGTATAAAATTGATTACATTTTCTAATATGTTTACTTAAGACACAAAAATTGCTGTGTAAGCAACTAGTGCTGCAAGAAAGGCGAGTCTATCACAAAAAGATGCCACCAAAGCCCAACACTGGTCAACATCGTTGTCTCCCTCAGATAGTAGTAGTAGACCATCGCTCGATCTCTCTCCAGTCTCACTAAGTTGGCCATAGTCTTGTCTCTTCTAGAAAAAATATAATAACACTTTAATAAATATGTCTAGCAAGAAAAGTTGATATTAAAAAAAATAATCATCCTACCGAGTTAGACTGCAATTATCCAATAAGGATTCATGTGCAATGTCAACATTCTATTGAATGCAACAACAGTTACAATCACCTGTTGCAATTTGTATTGGACAATTTTGTATGGTCAACTCCAGAAAAGGATTGTTTGGTTCTTTTATAATCTTTAACACATATTTTCATTGTGACTTACACGGAAAATAAGCAATCAATAACAATTTATAAGACTAAATCACAAATAAACAGTCGATGATGTTTATATTGTATAAAAGTTACCGGTACTCACATTGCATTTTTTTAAACTTAACGAGAAAGAGTTTATTTCCGTAATATACCTACCAACTTTAGTAACCTTTAAACTAATTTATACCTTAGCTCGCATCTCAGTTGATACCTGACTTCTTCATCATCCTCCAAACATTTTTCATGAATTCTATTGTTGTAGATTACCGTACTTTGTTTATTTCCTCATTTATGATGATTTTGCCAGTAAACCCCCACCTACCTACTACCTTTACCTACCAGCTAGCTTGTGACACCTCTCTCAGGACCATTTCATGATGAACCCTTCAATTATGTACCTACCTTTTGATTATCGTTTAACAAACATACAAAAACTTAAACAATACTAGGCTATAAAACTGATTTTGTTCTGTTATTAGTAAGTGATTCATAGTAGCTTATAATAAGATTTCTTAAAAAATTCTAAAACCCTGCAAGACAGTCTTAAAGTGTACTCACTACTGCTGGAGGTGATAGACAGAAGATACAAGAGATGAAGGGAGAGGAGAGGGTGGACGTAATTACTCGTGGAGGAGGTCGTAGATGTGTCGTGTTGACAAGACTCGTTATAAGCACAGATACTACCGTAGCACACGCCACTACCACTACCACCCAGCTATACACTCCAACTGGAACATAAACCAAGTCATGCCACAGTGTATGACAGTTTTATGATGTATTCTGACATACAAGTTTCTAAAAATAATATAGGGGTTTCAATTCAATGGTCCGCAAAACTGTTATGAGAAAAACCAAACATTCCATGTTGCTACTCCTACATCTGGTAGCCCACACAATTTTGTTTACATTTGTTAAAGTAGCTGTGTTGATTGTTGTAACTAAAGCATGTTACTTACAGAGAAAAGGTATGTGGTCAACAGGGGCTGGTAACACAGAGTCCAAAGCTACCAGGAAGCCACAGAGCAAGACTAGTAGAAGGCAGTTCGTAGCAAGCTTCTCTTTACCAAGAGGCTCCATCCAGAAACAGGCCAGTGACATGACGACCATAACTACACCAAGAGTTGTGAATAACAAATTATATTAATTCAAAAATTAGTATCAATTTGTATAGTAGTGTACAGTCCCTTGGTGTGTGGCCCCCTGCACAGAAGCTTCCAGCAATATACATTTACAATATATACAATATACAATATTTTACTGGACCCTCTGTCGTGACCTTGTGTATGCACGCATATTTTGTTGAGTTTGATAATTGAAAAAAAGAGGTTGCTCCATTTGAAAAGATTTATTTTACAACAATTTGTAATGTTGTTGATGACTTATTTAACACTAATAATTAATAATAACATATGATAGATATTTCCTTATTAACATAGGATATTGAATAATTATGAAACATGTGGTTGATATACTATGATACCCTCATTTAAAGATAAGCCAGAAGAAGAAACGAGGACACCAAAAAAATAGGCTACAATAAGTTTTTATTGAAAACATAAAAATAGCTTCAAAATTTACAATGGGATGAAGTCTACTTGATCTGTATTGATAAATATTAAATAGCTACATTTAATTAACTACATTTTTGAGAACACATTTTTTTTTACAAAACCCAAGGCATTTTACCATACAAAAATTTATTCAATCACAGTGTTTCTACTTCAACAGTCATATTGTCTTAATTGTCAAGTATTGTCAGTATTGTCAAGACATATTGTCTTACTATAATATTTAAGTAGACATTAAATTTTTATATTAAATTTTTTGTTTACTTTCAACTTACTAAATTTATCCATTCAGTTTTTTATAGCTTGCATATGAAAAAATAGCAGAGATGGAGAATAATGTGTACATCTTCAATCATGTACTAAAATAAAGTTGCATTACTTATATTTAATGTAGCTGACCTATTAAGGGAATCACAAGGATGTAGACATATCCAACGTTGAGTCTCCTGAGCGTCAGTGTGAACTTTAGAGCTTTAGGAGTCTCAGAATAATCATCATCAGAGTCATCGGAGGTGTAAACTGTTGAGTCCAGGGACTTTGGTAGAGTGACAACGACTGATTCTGACGTTAACTTGTCTATCTCCCACTCTGACCATGAGTGCTGCAGCTCTAACTGGACACACAAATAGTAAATTAAACTATAAGTATGTTGTTATATGATTTTCTGTTATTTATTTGTGATACTTGGTTTATAAGTACTATTTAATAATATCAGATATTTTTATCACAATTTAAGAAATACAAGTATAATTTATAAATGATCTAAATTTTACTGAAACAAGAAGAATATTAATGAGAATACAATTAAGATACAAGAGTATATTATATATTTTAGAATGAATATGAATCAGCTTTTGGAATATAAGGCACTCAAATCAGGGTTGTATTTACAAGGTTAATGTGTAACACCAACACAGAGAACAGTTTTAATTGTCAAAACTTGGATATAATTAAAATAAATTGACAACAGAAGAATGTTTTGTAACGGTCAAAAATAGACACCTTAAAATTTTTGACCTTATACAGAATTAAAAAAATACTAAACAACCGTTTAGGAACCAGGGTCACTCCCCTGACACCCTGTGTCACTTCCTTGTTTTTATCACCGTTAGCAATTGAGGCATTTTCTCTCGACGTTATCCCTTAGTTTTAGTCTCTTTGGGAACTACGGTCGATTCCCTACAACCCAGCGCCAATTAATTTGACTTTGGTTGAAGTTAGGGAGCGAAGTGCAATCGCTAGAAGTAGATTCTCATTTTTGTTCGTTTTGGAAACCGGGCCACTTCCCCGACACACAGAAGGTAAGAGTTGGTGATGATGAGCCTTACAGAATAAACCTTAGAGTTTCGAGTCTGGACAGAGTTCTGAGCCTTCTCCTACAAACAAAACTCTTGCGACCGTGTTTAGGTAAAACAAATCTCGATTGTCCTCTGGAAATTTGGGAACCTGCGCGCACTGAACTATTTTGGGCATCGTTTTGATTCCGAAAACCCCACCGAAAACACGGTCACAATTTTTATAGCAGAATCAGGAGGATGTAAAATCTTTATTTACCAGTTAACTTAAAAAAAAACTATACAATAAGATTTATTGTGATTCTAACTCTTATCTTCAAAATCTAAATTAGATATTTTAGATATGTAGCGAAACAGATTTTCCCATAGATCTTAATCAGATACCCAGCTTTAAAAAAGTTAATGCAGATTGTATGAAGTCCAAGTATTACCTTGGTTCCATTCTCGAGGAGAAGGAGTTGTGAAGAGTTTGGCTGCTGCCAGATGCCGAGATGTACGCTACAAGTGTGAGTGTCCCATGGCCATTGACGTAGGTTCATCTGACATCTAGACTGTAGAGTAGCTGGAGGACTCCACCTCACCTACCACAATCAACAAAAGCACCACTTTGGGTACTAGTGGTCACAGCAGTAAGTTTTCAAATTTAAAAACCAATGAAAAAAAATGACAAAGCAAATTTAGGTACAAATACCCCCGCCACAGCAAACCTGCAGACTAAACGAATTTCCATTTGATTTTCAAATAAATCTATTCAAATAACATTAGGTTTAACGAGCACCTAGGTTTGCTGCCTACAGGGTAATAAAGTGTGTTTTTTAATGAAATATTAATAGCTTAGTATAAAATAAATAGATTGGGCAAGTTGATCCAAATATATGCATAAACAAGCAAACTACCACAGTTTACTTATTCTCCATAAGAATAACATGGGAATTTTTAATTTACAATTTTCTCCGTAACCAATAACCATACAAAAACACTTCAATATACTGAATTATTTTTTTTTTAAGCTCTTCAAAATGGTTTAGAGGAAATTTGGGAAATTTTATGTTTTGAGGGTCAAAAATGAGAAAAACCAATTTTTACCTCATAAATCCCCCCATAAAACCCCGTTCCCATGGTCCGATCATGCTGGTTCAGGAACTCGTTCGAATAAACGTAGGTTTACACGTTTGTACCAAATTTCATCGAAATCGGATAATTTTTGCTCGAATTATCGTGCTAACGGACACACATATATATATATATAAATTTGAACGGATGGTGTTTTTGGCTTCTAGGGACATCAAAATGAAAAAGTAAATCGGTCCCGGGACTAAGTCTTACCATGAGATCTACGGTAACACCTTATTCCCTATAGGGAAATTCGCTAAAATGGATAAATTCAACTTTTTTGTGCCTATATTTTAAACATTTTCCATTCCCCTAATAACATGAGGTTATTCCGTACCCCCCTCATACTACTGCTGTTCCATAAGGATGGGGTGTTTACTTCAGTATCCAAAGATCAATACTTCTATACAAACACAAAGCGATTTATCTACTACGAGTACTTCAATTGTATGTATACCATACTGTATGATAATATAGTTTAAAATGCAATTTTTATTCAAATTTGGCAGAACAGAAACTAAGCTCAGTATGGTTAAATCAAACTTCTTCTGAACTTGATTTAGTAGAACTGAGTGGCAAAGTAGTACCACATCTTATCACACATCACATGTATCTTATCACATGTATCGGTAGCCAGTTAATAAATGAAAGGTACTGGATTACAAATTATATCCGTATCAAGCTGTACCTACCTTGCCATCAGAAGTAACCCGCATTCCTGCAATGCTTGCAGTCCATGGAGCAATGTTCTTTCCTGCAGCACTTTCAAAAACATCTTATTATATAATAAATTATAGTACAATTTTGACATGGAAAAATAATAAAACATTTGCTAGGTATTTAAATTAATAAAAAGCTGGTACTCCAGCCCCTTTCTTCAAACTCTCCAAAGGTCCTCCACTTCTTCCTTGTCCTCCTTAGCACATGCTGCTGGCCCTTAACGTCGCACAGATGGTTTTTACCCTTATCCAGTTCCAGTTCATCTCTAAACTGTATGGTTTCTTCCATTTTTCTGTTAGGCGTTCTGCCATTGCTCTGAGCAAGGTCTGAAACTCTTTGCCTAGCATCCCGTCCACAGACATGACTAGTTGGGTAAAAGAAGAATTTATCGTTTCTGTTATTGATAAATATTTACTCTTCTTCTCTCTTTCTGCATTCTCCAAAACTTTTTTGAATGGGAGGTTCAAGTACGATTCAAACAATGCTTCTGTCTGAACCTCCCATACCCCCCTACAAGCCAAGTCTGCTTTTAGTGCTGCAGTATCCAATGACCCTTGCTCAGAGATCATTGGTTCTCGAACACAGTTTTCCCATGCTAGCTCCATCAAGCTTCCAAGGGTATCCCTTACCTCATCTATGTGAGTCGGTGGCACAGTCGGTAGCGTCGTGGACTTCGGGCCCAAGGCAGCGATGTCGTGGGTTTGGATCCTGGTCACTGCCACTAAAATTTATCAGTACAGTTCACCTTTGTACTGTACCGGCTCACTCCTTGCTTTGCTGTAAACGATCCACGCACGGGCGCTTAGTCTATGTGGACGTGCAAATGCAAGGTTAAAAGAGCCCGCCAACCTCTTCAACCTCTCAAAAAAAAAATATGTCTTCTTATTATCAAACCACCTCCACCTGTGCGACAGTTAAGGGCATGTTCCATACTGAAGTTTTTGCCACAGCCATCACATGAAGAGGGGTGGAGTATAGGAGTTTTCCCATATCTTAATGCAAGAGCATCTCTGAACTCCAGTGGAGAAAGATCTAAGTTAAGTTTTTTTAGAGGAATGCATGACAGCCATTCACTGTGTTTCGCTTTAGTATTTGCTCCTCGCAAGATAATTTTTTGTTGTTTTAGAGGAAGATTTTTAATAGTTGATTTCAAAATGTTTTCTTCTTCTAATCTTTTCTCCTCTTTCAAGTCCTTTTTTGTGATAGTCAAATGTTCTTCATGTTCTTGCATACTTATTTTCCTCTTAGTTTTTAGGGAGTCTATGATGAATTTACAACATTTCTTTGAAGCTCGGAACAATGCTTTTCCCTGAGCGGTAGGATCAACTAAACCAATTCCTCCATTTTTTACTTGCAGATGTAATATTTTTTGTTCTTCTTGGTTTAGGTGAGAGCCAAATAAAGCAGGAAATAGGTTTTGTTCTATTGTGTTTTTATTGGATGAAAATTAATGTCTTCACTTTCAACAACTCTTGAAAAAAATTCCTAGATTATGGATTTTGTGGCAACAGTGTGTGCAGATTGTGGGTATTCTTCAGCTACATTCGCCAGACTTACCAAATGACTATTCCACTTTTCTACCTTCTTTTTAACAAAGACATCTTTTTCAGTTTTGTCACATCCAATAAATCCTCCTAACTACTCCCAGTAACAATCTCTAATCCTGATATGTTGGATAGGTCTAATGTTGATGGTTCAGATCCAACAAAAATCAAACGGGTTTTGTGAGCTTGTGGGTAGCAAACGTATTTAGGCCCAATTTCTTGTAATTTCTCCCACCATTTCATCACATTATAAAGTTTTCCTTGACATGATGAGTCATCCGCATACCATACTTGGTTTGTATCTGTGAAGGTTTTTAATTCATTAATTAACGGCAAAGTGGCTAATCCATATAATATCATGGATGGGTCTCCCTGAGTAACGCCTTCTCTGCTATACAGTTGTTTTTTACTTCCTGGCATAATTAGTGTGTAGCCTTACTCTGGTATGTATTGATAATGAATCGTGCAGCCCCTGGCCATTTAATTCTTGCCTGCACATAATCCATCTATTTCTATATAATTTGTGTTAGGGAGTGATTGGTTATGACCATGATGAAATACAAAGGTTCATATGTTGTTAACGCATGAACTCTGTTTATCTTGTTGAAGGCATTGTCAGCATCAACCATTATCATACAGCTGTCTTCTTCAGTTTGACATTTTTCTTCATATTGGTCTCTCATGAAATGTATTGTACCTTCAATTCCTGCTTTTAATCCTACACAGATTTGATCAGTGCCACATATGTCAATAACTTCATCACCAGCTGCAAGAATTATGCATTTTGCTAAGATACGGTGGAGCACTTCTCCTATACCCACCGGTCTAACACCAGGGCATTTGTCAATTGCAACCAGCCGATTAGCCATAAGAGCTTGAATTTTTGACCAAGGTATGATTTCCTCATTTAACTTCATTGCTAATTCAGCAATTGACGCTCTTAAAAAAGCACTTTTTCTACCATGCCTTAGTAAAAAATCTGTCCATTGTTCAGAAGTACTCCCGCCTGGCCCTCCACTCCCATGCAATTTTCTTGCAACTTTTTCTACATGTTCAGCCGTGATTTCAACTGACTCTAATCTAGGCATTTCTTTCATGTGGCTGGGTAGTCTTAACAATTCCAGATGAGGCATTGTGCCATTTGGATGTTTATCTTTCAATATATCTAATGGTGTGCGTCTATCACCATCTATTACAGTATCAGGACTTGATATACCTCCTTTATTGTCTTGATTAATAATCCGAGATGCTCCTTTTATTTTTCCTCTTTGAACCAATCTATTGAATTTAGTTTTAATGAACTCTTCATTATCATTATTTTCGGCTAATGCGTTTTAAGCCAACAGCACTAAAATAGAGGTTATTTAATTTGTTAAGAACAAGAACATGAATTGTTTATTTTTTATTTTTACATGAATACATGGATTTAGGCACTCAAATCAGGGGTGTATATATTGATCATGGACAAGAGTGACAGATTTTTAAAAGGATGCAGTAATAGCTATTTACCTAACCCGCCATGTTAAACTTTCCTATCCCAAGCGTGATGTATACAACTTCCTTACTTCTCAAGTGATGTAAAGTTGAAAAAAACTCACTCGGTGATGTAATGAAACCCATTTAAATAGCATTGAGTGGATAACTTAAAAAATATACCTCTATGGAGCCAACGACGTTCAACGCTAGAAATCAGCTGTGTGTTTGAATTTTATTGTTATGCTTTGAAGAATTTTCCTAACCTAGCTTTTGTTTGTAAATGTAAGTTACTGTTAGAAGATGAGTGCAATTGATAATGAAGCATATTGGTCGTAACCTCCTGAATATTGTTGGGTCAGGTAAAATCTTGTACGTTACACGTTACGCAAGAGCGTGTTTACATCACTTCGGTGAATTATGCAACTCGCCTTCGCTCGTTGCACAACATTCACCTGCGTGATGTAAAAACGCTCTTACTACACTTGTAATGTAAATAGCTATTACATTACAAGTGTAGTAAGAGCGTTTATACATCACGCAGGTGAATGTTGTGCAACGAGCGGAAGCGAGTTGCATAATTTATCTAAGTGATGTAAACACGCTCTTGCGTAACGTGTAACGTACAAGATTTTACCTGACCCGACAATATAGGCCTACATGGGTTTACGTACAATAGTTTTCACTATCCATTTCACTCATTGTCTAACAGTAACGTTCTTTTACAAACAAAAGCTAGGTTAGGAAAATACTTTAAAGCATAACAATAACATTCAAGCACACAGCTGATTTCTAGCGTTGAATGTCGATGCCTCTATAGAGGTATATTTTTTAAGTTAAGCACTCAATGTTATTTAAATGGGTTTCATTACATCACCGAGTGAGTTTTTTTCAACATTACATCACTCGAGAAGTAAGGAAGCTGTATACATCACGCTTGGGATAGGGAAGTTTAACATGGCGGGTTAGGTAAAATAACAGAATTTTGTATAAGAATTAAATTGATGATATACTAAACTGATGCTGTGACTATAAGTCAATATCTTCTGTTTTTCATTTTTTATTAATGGCTATAATTAAAATTTGGATATGTTGCATTAAAAAAGTTTTCACAATTTAGGATTCAAGAAAGTGTGTGTCTAATACAATTGTTCAATAAGCTCTATGGACCTTTCAATAATTTTAGTGAATCTTAGTAATTTTGTGAGCCAGTGACTTAGTTGATAGTGCAATGAACCTTTAACAAAATGTAGCAAATAATATCACCTTAATTGTTGGTTAGTTTTGTAAGAAAATTTTAATTGTTTGAATTTTAAGATGTGTGGTTACTATTTCATGGTACAAAAAAATGTGTATAAATTGTCTAATTCAATAAAAAAAGGTATAACAAATTTAAACAAACTTACTTGAAGTGAACCAACGCAGGTCGCCAAATTTCATGTTTGATGAAGTTCAACAGAGTCAAATCACTAAAGTTACCTGGATTCCAAACCATTTTCTGGTCATACCACTCCTGCAAAAAAGCTATACAGTAGGTACATATTTCATGTAATAACAAATCCAAAAATGATACGCTTTTTTCTTGAAAATTTAGGGATTACAAAAAACAGATTTTGCTAATGAGGTGCTTCTTCTGGAGAGCCATAAATACTTACCAGAGGGAAAGGATGGGTTGATTATTCGGGAGTTCCACTCATGGTCAGACATTTTGCTACTTTTAACTGTTCTTTACTTAATCTTCTTAAATGAACCAATTATACTGTACATCCCTGCCTGATATCCCTACCTCATTCTTAAGATCTATTACACATGACTAACCTATTTTGGTTCTTAACCTATTTTGATGTTTTTGGAGTAATTAAAAAAAATTCACTCTGATGTTGTGCATCGATCCCTTAACCCTTCCCGGACGGGCGAAATCGTGAAATAGGACGGGAAAAAATTAGAGGAAAAAATAAAAATAAATTTTCCTTATTTGTGTTTTGTTATACAAGTATACATAAAATAAACACAATGGAACACTTCATACTGTCAAAATAATTTTGTACATGTTTTTAACAATGCGGATATAACCGCTAACCCATCCGCAGATGAGTAGAAATGCAGCGGTTATATCCGCCACCCGTCTTTGAAGATATGACCATGACAACGTTAGACAATAAATAAAGAACAATATGTAAACAATAAAAATAGACAACTTAGTGTTGAGCGCGAAACATCGAGGGGTGAGCGTAGGAGTGGTGGGAGTTGCGCGTGAGAGGGGGAGGTGCAGGAGAGGGGGGAGTGCGGGGGAGAGCGCAGCCATGGAGAGAGCAGGAAAGTGGCGCCTTGGTACCGTGAAACATCTGGTTACTGCTCAAGCACCTGCCAGTCTGTCTGAAGAGAAGGCGGGTATAACCGCTTCCCATCCGGAACATAAAAAGCTGTAAGCGGATATATCCGTTACCTGTCCTTTATTACCAGAGACTTAGGCGGATATATTTGTCACCCGTCAGGGTTAAAATGAGCTCAATGTATGGTACGGCCTTAGCTGCCTTGGCTGTTCTATAGGCCAAAATGAGCTTTGCGCATCGGCTGCGCTACTCTATCTCTCTTTTTCTCTAAGCCGATTCTTTGTCTCACAAAGTCAGCTTACTTGGCTGCGCCACTCGCAATAGTAGCGCCTTTGCTACCTATTGGCCGCCATGGGAACTATCAGAAATTAAAATATTCCCAGACTGAATTTTTAACAAAGGCTTGCGCTTCGGGTTTGTATTCATTGGTACAGCTGGAGGTATATAGCACTGACAGGGAAACTCTGCTAGAAAATCAAGACGATTTAATTTTGTAGCTTGTTTTGTTACCAACTAGGGGAATCATACATTGATTTGTGTATGTACAATCCAACAATCCTCTATTCAATGACAGCCAATGTCCCGCAACTCCACAAATAAAATAATTATAAGAATATGTTTACAATTATTTCTATCTGTATCCAAACAATTTGATGTACTAAACAAATGGAGTTAACACTATACTTACCAATGTTAGGATACATCCAACTGACATTATAGAGCTTTTGGGATCCTGTGTACAAAGTAATGAGGTATTATAAACAAAATCTTTGATAAAATTTAAGATCTCAAATATTCTTACAAGTTATTGTTATACTATTTTTATGTAAATATACAAGTTATATCAGGCTTATTTTTATAATATTACTATAGAATACTACTATCATTAACTGAAGGAAATTAAAGTAAAACCATAAGGAAGATTAAGATATTTTACAGGAGATCTGACAAAAAACCTTGTATCTGCGACATAAAAAGTCACATTTTCTGATTCAAATTACCACAAAAAAATAAATTTCTTCCTTCATATTTTTCTTATGGGGCAAAAAATTACCATATGAATTACTGACTTTGGTATGCAGACCTAAAGCCTCTTCTGAACGTGCTATAGAGACTTAAAACTGTTCAAAAATGTAGTGTGTGACCGATCAAATTACGGGGAATACTTTCAAAACTGGCATATTGAATTATAAACCCCTCAACATTTCTAAATGGTGAACAGCCTAAAGCATAAAACGCTGGTTATCCATAAGCCCCAATGGGCTGATGTATGGCTAGTATAATCGGCTGTTAATTTTTTTCTACGAATTTCTAATTTACTTTTATTTTCTAGATCTGCTCCAGCACCGTTGCTTGCACTCGATCTTTTAAAATGTAGGGTTCATCCACCACAAATTTGTGTTAGGGAGTGATTGGTTATGACCATGATGAAATGCCGTATAATACCAAGGCCCGCGACACACAGACTACACTATTTTACTTATGACCTTTTAATTACTCATGAACAACTATCAGCACACTAGGGCTCGGACTGATTAAAGAAAATCTTTTTTTTTATTTTTTTTTCATTCAATTAGCTAAGTGTGGCAGAATTAATTTTACAAATTTACCAAAAAATTAATAGAGTAAAGCTAATATAGTCCAAACGTAAACATTTTTTTGGAGACTAGTCAATATTTACTTCCAAAAGCTCTACTGCGCTTAGCAAGGGATTTTAAGAACATGAATATACCGTACTTGTATGTCTGCTCGGTAGGGTTCATTATTGTTTACCTTTTTGTTTGTTTATAATTTCAGCGTAGTAGGTTTGACAGTCTGGAACAGTTCACTTGGAACAGAGGGATAGAAACAGACAGAAACTATAATAACTCTTCTTTATATTTTTTTGTTTGTCCTAGGACACTAGGCACAAGCCTGGGATTGTTTTTCACATTACTTCACACACTCTTCTTTATAATAGTACAGTAGAGTCCCGCAAACTCAGCGTAATGTGGACTGGAAGGGTGCCGAGTTTGTGAAATGCTGGGTTATCGGGAACTAGGGTTAAATATAAAAACAATAACATTTTTAAGCCTTTTACCTGCCTTCTTTATTTATATTTATAATACAAGTCGGTATTAAGTCATCAGATATAGTACAAAAAATCCTTTTTACGAGTTGCGAATGATTTGACTTGAGCTGGCTTGAGTCATGTTGAATTCAGACTCAAAAAATCACTAATTTTCTGAGCCAGGTAATGGCCGAGTTATTCAGACTGCCGGGTTATCGAGTGCCGAGTTTGCGGGACTCTACTGGTAGTTTATAAGGTAGATCACAATTTTGAGCATGACAATAGTGATGTTAGGTTATACCATTCGGTAACTTACCAAGGTGATGTGGTTTACTTGCAACTGGACTCCAATCTCTAATATTTCAGATGAATCACTGACAGGTCTAGAGAACACATCATATCCAGTTAACAAAGCTTGTCTCAACCTGTCCGTTGCTGTCAAAATTGGTTGAACTTCAATTGATCCTGTAACAAATTAAAAATTTTGTTCATTAGTTTTCATTTAATTTCATTGACCACCAGACACAGTCACAAACATCCATACTTTCACATTTATAATTTACTAGCATTTTACTAGCTTCGTACGGGGTTAGCATATAAGTATAAAATGTTTATTACAGTTATGGGAGAGGACACAATTTAAGAAAATTAGGTAGGTTGGAGCTCGTTCGCTGGGCTCACTTGCCTTCAGGTTTAGCTCATTCGCTATGCTAACTCGCCTCCAGGTTGAAGTTCGTTCGCTACGCTTACTCACCTTTTAGTTGCAAATTAGCTGTTTTCATAAATAAAAAGAAAATAATAGTGCTACACCCTGTTGGTCTATTTACTTTTTAATGCTATTGAACATCTATATAAATAAAATTAGAGTTTTGTCTGTACATTGCTTAGAATAATGAACTTTTTGGTTATTTTTACATTTCATAGGTCAGAGAAACCGAATCAAACCTTATCTCAATTTCTGTCTGTCTGTCTGTCTGTCTGTCTGTCTGTCTATCTGTCATTCTCTTGGTAACGCTAAAATACGCACTTTATTACAACTACTCCTCAATAACTATAGCACTGTCCCGCCTGAAACTTATTTTCCAAATACTATACATATATGAGATGGTTTTAGACGTATTTCATCGAATATGAGACAGTTAGATATTTAACAGTAAACCCTTGAAAATCAAGTTTTTGTCGATTTTTGACGTGGAATTTCTGGAAGCCCATGTTAACCTTATGAGAAATGAAATTATTGAATCTTAACAGCTGTTTCAATTAAACAAGTTGGTTCTGTTCTGTGATGTTCAATAGCATTAAAGTTACAAGGATTACCAACAGGGTGCAGCACTAGCACTATTATTTCTTTTACATTTATGACAACAGCTAATTTGCAACCTGGAGGCGAGTGAGCGTAGCGAACGAGCTAACCTGAAGGCAAGTGAGCGTAGCGAACGAGCTAACCTGAAGGAAAGTGAGCGCAGCGAACGAGCTCCAACATACAGGTGAGTGAGCGTAGCGAACGAACTTCAACCAGGACGTGATTGAGCCATGCAAACGAGATCAGATAGTAAAAATAAAAGTAAGCCTACCGTTATAGGATCGACCGGCAGACACAGAGGTAATTTAACCTTTTATTGATTGTCATACCGATCCGGAACAACAAAAAAACAACATAAAATGAAGCTATGTATAATAGTTTGGCCAGCATATCTTAAAATATGCAAACCAACTGCTGTTCGTTATATAAGAAGGTTTCAACTGAATATTATAAGATCCCCGTGCGTAGAACGGGTACACAGCTAGTCTATATAAATAAAATTAGAGTTTTGTCTGTACATTGCTTAGAATAATGAACTTTTTGGTTATTTTTACATTTCATAGGTCAGAGAAACCGAATCAAACCTTATCTCAATTTCTGTCTGTCTGTCTGTCTGTCTGTCTGTCTGTCTATCTGTCATTCTCTTGGTAACGCTAAAATACGCACTTTATTACAACTACTCCTCAATAACTATAGCACTGTCCCGCCTGAAACTTATTTTCCAAATACTATACATATATGAGATGGTTTTAGACGTATTTCATCGAATATGAGACAGTTAGATATTTAACAGTAAACCCTTGAAAACCAAGTTTTTGTCGATTTTTGACGTGGAATTTCTGGAAGCCCATGTTAACCTTATGAGAAATGAAATTATTGAATCTTAACAGCTGTTTCAATTAAACAAGTTGGTTCTGTTCTGTGATGTTCAATAGCATTAAAGTTACAAGGATTACCAACAGGGTGCAGCACTAGCACTATTATTTCTTTTACATTTATGACAACAGCTAATTTGCAACCTGGAGGCGAGTGAGCGTAGCGAACGAGCTAACCTGAAGGCAAGTGAGCGTAGCGAACGAGCTAACCTGAAGGAAAGTGAGCGCAGCGAACGAGCTCCAACATACAGGTGAGTGAGCGTAGCGAACGAACTTCAACCAGGACGTGATTGAGCCATGCAAACGAGATCAGATAGTAAAAATAAAAGTAAGCCTACCGTTATAGGATCGACCGGCAGACACAGAGGTAATTTAACCTTTTATTGATTGTCATACCGATCCGGAACAACAAAAAACAACATAAAATGAAGCTATGTATAATAGTTTGGCCAGCATATCTTAAAATATGCAAACCAACTGCTGTTCTTTATATAAGAAGGTTTCAACTGAATATTATAAGATCCCCGTGCGTAGAACGGGTACACAGCTAGTCATATAATAAAATTGTTTAGTTGAACCAGCTGTTAAGATTCTTTAATTCCATTTAAATGTTAGTACTAATGGTTAACATGGGGAACTACAGAGCCACTGGGGCAAAGCCCAAGAGGATTTTTGAGATAAGAATATGAGTAAATGTTAATCGGGAATGTGAGCTATCATCATGCCAAATTTCAGCCCAATCCGTCCCGTAGTTTATGCGTGATTGAGCAACACACATACACACAAACTCACAACTTTCAGATTTTATATATATAGATTAGTAAGACTAGTGCACCTTTTGCTCGAATTCAAGCAATAGCAAAGTATTAAAGGCGTTATTTCAAAATGAATAACAGTCTTAATTTCCGATGACTTATAAGAGTCAACTCAAAGATAATGTAATCAATCACAACTACTCCAGTTATCGAAACTGAAAACAAACTCACTCTGAAAACGAACGCTCTTGTGTGTTTCGTGTTTACTATGAACAGCTGTTTTAGTATGCAATTGATAAAAATTATTCGTCTGTTTAAGTAATAAACACAATGTTTTCTTCATAATAAATACATTGGGATTTTGATGGCCTGTGGGGCAAATCCCGAGGACCTTTGTTACAGGAATTGGTGAAATGGGGTGTCCACACAAACCCCAAAATTACTTACATTTTGACACATCATTTGTAAAAATCCATCCATTATTAACGGAGGTGTAGTGTTTCGTAGAAATTGCCTTCACATATTATACAGGGTGACAAAAAAGTCTGGAAACGGCTTAATATCTTTTTAACTAAATCCGTTAGAAAATTCAAACTTTTCACATCAACTTACATGTATGAAAACCACTTTTTCCAAGTATTATCATTTTTTTACCTCTACCAGGGGACGACACTTGAGGATTAATGTAAGCATAGGTTGATATGCACATAATTTTAAAGGGTTAGTCAAGTGGAGTTCATTGGCCGGAAACCACAAATTCATCCGTTACAAAATGGCGGCTGTTCAAAGCTCTTGTAAAAGATACCTGCACAGGCCTTAGTATTGGTAAATACTCGTATTAAACATCAGCTTGAGAGCTGAAATTGTATTTTAAAGTCAACTAATATCTTAACTAGCTCATATCCTAAGTTTATTCAATCTTCAAAACAAATTCAACCGAGTTTCAGATTTCCCGGCTAATCTTGACTATGAGTTAAGATTATTTACCAATACTAAAGCCTGTGCAGGTATATGCTGCAAGAACTTTGGACTGCCACCATTTTGTAACGAATGAACCTTTTTTGACGCGGTTTCCGGCAATGAACTCCACTTGACCAGACCTTTAAAATGATGTGCATATCAACCTATGCTTACATTAAAGATTATGTACCTACTCCTCATGGGCCGTCCCCTGGCGATGGTAAAAACATGGTAATGCTAGCAAAAAGTAGTTTTCATACATTTAAGTTGATGTGAAAGGTTTGAATTTTCTAACGAATGTTTGTGTATGGCTTTTGATAAGACATTTTGTCAATTTTTTTAAATGTAAAAATCCCTATCCCTCCCTCTGACCTAACAACCAGTCCGAGAATAACATGTATTTTCAAACTTACTAAGGTGCTCCCACGATTTTCTTTAAGTCCCACCCTTTTTAGGTCTTACTTTAGACGTATGGTTAAGTCAATGGTATTACCTAAAGTCATGATTTGTCTGCCTAAAGAGTGGACTAAAATAGTAGTTCCTTTTAATTACCATTTCGTTGATCTTGAACACCACAGTCGTACAACCACTTGCCAGCGACCCCACTCCATGTGCAGAAGCTAAAGTATTCTATCAGCAAAGGGTCAGGATCTTGCCACTGCATGAAAGGGAGGTCATCACCCTCGTTTCCCACGAGAATCATCCCCGATGAGGTGATTCTCACCTACGACATGTCAATTTTAAAATCATTGTGTTACATGTGTTGCACCAGATATTCTTTAATACTGTTTTACTAATGCTGTTTTGTTTTTGAGGGGGTTATAGGTATTGAGATGTAAATGGGTGGTAACAAAATGAACAGTTACAGTTCCAAAATATATAAAGCCATTTTTTGGAAGGATGGAAAAAATCAAGGGTACTTACTTAGCCATTATATGGGAATAACAATTTAGCACATTTTGCAATTAATTGCAGTGTAACGTGAATATTACCAAAACCATCACGTTGGATGTAAAGGCTTGCGCAATACATGCATATGATTATAAAGAAACCAAAGATTGAAATATTTGCTCAAAAGTAAAAAAAGACGTGGATGAGCTGTAGAATTTTAAGTTGCCATGAAATTACATGCTCTAAAATATTCTGGACAATGTTAGTCTTCATTTGGATAAATAGCCTCTGGATCGTTATTAAACATTGTTGTTTATAATCTAAGGCTTACCTTACGATTCAAATTGTTGTATTGTGGAGACCTAGGTTTCTACGCATCTAAGTTCCCCACTATGTCTTTGTAAATATTTATGTATATTCAGTGTTTGTTTTTGTAAAAATTCTATCCAACCGACAATATCTCAATTAAGAGATGAAAAACAAAAACTTCAGCTTATAGGACTGACGATAACGCTCCAGCGTAGAAACCTAGGTCTCCACAATGCATCAATTGGATCATAAGGTAAGCCTTATATTATAACAATGTTAGTCTATAAACTATTTTACTATGGAAGTACTCATGGGGCATGGATTAGTGATAGGAAGTCATTAAACAAAGATGTGCTGTTCAGAGCACTAAAGTAGTATCTTCTACCTTGCAGGGCATTTTGATACTTTAAAAAAATTTAAATATTTAAAGTCTGTACCAAAGCAACATATTTAGATTCACAACTAAGAAAGTTGTTAGAACTGGTGGGATGAATTAGTTTAGTTTCAAATTTTATCCTTAAGGCTAAAGAAGCCAGGATCAAAGGCACATATTTTAAAAGTGTCTTTATTTAATATTGTACCGATACTTATTATGCTAGTCATTGTTCACTAAGAGTAGTTAAATACCCAGAAACCCTTCATCTCTGTGCCAGACAGGATATCCTTGGTGTAAGCTGAGGACTTGGTGGAGGCTCGACGCTTCCTGCGGATGTCGGAGAAGGAGTTCTTTCCAGCCCCGAGTACTATCTCATAGACAGGGTCGGCCTCCTCAGGGGACGGGTTAGGTGAGAGCAGGATGTGAGCGTCACTACGGGCCTTCACCTGGAATCTGTCACTTGGCTTAAGAAAAAATTGAGTGAACAGACTATACAAAGATTGAGTACAGAAATATTTGTTTATCTTATAAGCTGGTAATATGTTTGGCTAACGATCTTACTATAATATTATAAATATGTGAAAGTATGGATGCTTGTGAGTATGTCTGGTGGTAAATCAAATTATGTAAAGCTAATCAACAGTCTACTCATCGCTATACCTCGATCTAGCTCTTGATCTTTCTGACTCAATGGTTATTTAATAAGAGGGTAATGTTTCATTAACAAAGGAATTATGTTCTTACCGTGTAATTTGTATAATATGAGCTGCAAGTAAAGAGGCCTGACAAAAAACAACAAAAAAATCATCAGTAGGGTTTTAAAAATTAAGTATAATTTTAGGTAAGCGTACATTTTAAAATAGACTCAAACCAGCACAACTTAAACACTGTATTAAATAGCCTAGAGAATTCCACACTGAATTAAAAAAAGAGAATTTAATCAATATCGGTAGTGAAAGTTTTGATTCTAAAGTCAATGATTAATGTGTGGCTATTTCATAAAGCAGACCTGAAGATGAACATTATTCTTTTCCATGTACTTAGCTATAAATATATTTTAACTACCTATAATTGTATTCTTTCCCCTTCTCACCTCATATAAATCATGTCTCCGTTGCTCTGATGTAGACTGTCACCGGGCAAGTGGAAAAACTGACGGTAGCCGTATCCAAAGGTGAAGAGAGTTTTGCATTTTGGTCCGTCGTTTGCTGGAAACAATACATAATGAACTGAACTCTTTCTGAGTACAAAGATAATTTTGTTAATATGCAATAGCTCTTTGGATACAACCTCTATTTCTTGAGATGTGGGAAACATCTAGGACAACCCAATATTATGTTAAATAATATTTGCATAGATATTTGAAATCACTCCATTCAGCAAAGAGTTCTAAAACAAATCACATTTTTTAAATAGTTATTTGTATATAGTGGGCGAAGTGGCACTTGGCTGCACAAGAAAGAAATGTTTACGCACGAGCTGTAGGCAAGTTTGGAAAGTTTCTTGAGTGCAGCAAAGGCAGTTTGCACTAGCGTGATACATTATATTTTTTAAACAGTTACTATAAAGCATATAAATAATTAGTCTTTAATTCAAACACTGTACAACACGTTTTTAGGTTAGGTTAAATCCATAAACATTGAACAAAATAGGAAACACTGCACCAGCTGATCGTATATATAGTTGTAATATCTTTAAGTGTTTATTTTCAAGCGTACACATATTACGTGCTTACTAAAAGCATGCTGTTTTGTTTTGTTTAGTAGGAATACTGGTGTGCAAAAAAAACTGTGAGGCAAAAGTGAAAAGTGTGCAGCAAAAATAAGTAGATGCAGCAATTAGCAACTTTCTGTGCTATAATTAGTGCAAAGAAGGCCACTTTGTCAGGTGACTGTAGGAAAAATTATTTTCTTAACATCTAAACAAATGAGGAAGCAAGTTATGATAAATAGGAGTGACCAATGTAGGAAAATCACATTAGCCCTGTTCTGATTGCAAATCACTGATGTGGTCATAAATTTAGTATGTCATTCCTGAAATTAATGATAATTAAATTTCCAAAAGGTTAGTTCTTACTTTGCCTCTGGACATCTTATATGGCAAAAGTATTGTTTTCATCAAAATGTTCAAGTTAAAGTTTTGGTTGGAAATATCCATTTTGAGTCCCCCAGCACAAAAAAAAAAAAAAAAAAAAAAAAAAAAAAAAAAAAAACACGGTTACAGTATTAATTAGATGCCTGTGTGTTTTTAGATGTGCACAAAGCTAAAGACTATACTGATGGTTGTATTAATATTTATACATTTCATTTAATAGGCCAACAAAATTTTTTGATAATTGTTTTGAAGCTACCATGCATCCGAAGACCATGTTTAAGGTGTCATTGGATAGGTCGTGGCATGTAGATTTGTCATCAAATAAAAAATGTTTGAAATTCCATCAGGGCTCTGTCCCAGTGGCCTTCAAAGTTCCCATGTTATCCTTAGGGAGAAAATATTTGTTTACATTTAAACAGATGAATACATTGAAATTTACACTAATATTTGAAACAGCTGGTTATACTAAAATTGAAATTAAATTAATGTTAACATGTGCTATAATATAAGGATTTATTAGATTTGTTAAACAGATAAAAACGTAATAAAAAAGTTTATGGGGCTAAAATTGGTTTTTCTCTGCAAAACAGGTTTTTTTAAAGATTCAATGAATTCAAAAGTCAACTTACAGTACCGTGCAGCAGTTCCACTATTTTGTTGTGATTTTTAAGATCTTTGTTTTACTGAAACTAAATAACAGGATATTATTTAATGAGTGGAGAATATCAATATCGAAGGAACAATAATTTTGTATCCAATTATATCTATTGTAATTAAGGAATGGCACCCAGCATTCTTCTGTATGATTATTTATGATAGGTGCACAAGAATAATGATCAGGAGTTAAGACATTGGTTTTAAACATGTTTTTCATCTCCAAAAAGAATATTTTCAAAAAGCAGGAGCGTGTCCCAAAGATTCTGGAAAACGCTATTTTTTTGTGTTAAACAGGAATCTTGATATATCGTCAGGACATATTAAGGAGTGACTCTAGGCTCTAGGTAAAGGAATTACTTTTGAAAAACATGTGGAGGAAATGTGCCAAAAAATGAAGCAAATCTTCGCGAAATTAGCAGGACAGGCCAGAGCCAGTAGAGGCATGACTGGGAAGCATTTGATGACGCTGTACACAGGGTGTTGAGCCAGCAATGCTTTACTGATGCAAGTTCTGGGTGAAGGATGCTAGGAAGATAAGATTGAAAAAGAATCTTTTGAGTATGCAATTATAAAGAAGAGTTTTTGTTCAAAGTAGGGAAATCATACAACACAGTATCCCATGGTACGATTAGGGTTTTGACCTGAGCCATACCACTCCGGTAAAAATTATTATACATTGAAGAAAGTACAGTAGAACCTCGATAAGAAGACCCTCGATCCCTCGATAACAAGTCACCCTTGATAACAAGGGTCATTTTCAAATCCCCTTAAAATTATTTTACCCCTAATCACATGTTATTGCAAACCTCGATATGAAGTCATCTTTGATAACAAATCTTATTTTATGATTCCTAGAGGATCTTGTTATCCTGTATTAGGATTTTAGAAGACAAGGCCGTGGGTAGGACGACGTCGGAAAGCAAGAGTGCCAGAAGAGAGGAGACATTAGATAAGTGGCAAATGCGCTGGTAACAGATGAGGAAGAAAGGGAAACATTCGGATATATATGCCAAACATCAGAAGGAGACTGGAACAAGATTGGGAGATGGGCCATTATCAAACACAGTTTGTCACAGGTCATGGAATTTTCAAGGCGAATTTGTGGAGATTCAACTTTGGTGGAAGAAGAAGAATTTAGCTGCACAAAAAGAATAGAAAGTGGCCAAAGCCTAAGAAGAATGAAGATTTTTCATGGGGAATCGGCATGGAAAATAAGTCCAAGACTTAAGCCAGAGGCGGTATTGGGAACGAGGGGCTTTGGTTTATCATTTAGGTTGTAATCGATTATTGAAAAGGGAATCATTTACTGACTTTCACAACAACAACAAAACTGCAAAAACGGCACGTAAACTGCAAACTCAATTAGGCCTTTTACCATCTCCACTTTTAACAACAATCCCAAGAAACCAGAAAACGCCAAATAAAAAAGATCAATATACTTCTTCTACAACATCTAGTTGCACACGATTACGTGTGACAGATTCACTAGTTATTACAAAGAACTAAAACATTTGGTACAGAGTGTTATTGTTTACTTCTAAGCATATTGCAAAATTTTAGTGTCATCACTTATAAATTATAAGTGATGACACTAGACTACTGTAGTACATCATTTTCAATTTTTGTTCTTCATAAAATTACAACAATATGTTGAATCTTACCCAAGTAGCAACACAATATTGTTATAATGTTGAAATAATGTTGCTTAACATTGTCAACAATATTGTTCTGAGAATATTGTTTTAATGTTGAAGCAAGATTTTCCCAACATTGATCAACGTTTTATGAAAATATTGTTTGATAATATTGATTAATGTTGAAAAAACATTATTTCAACATTAACACATTATTTTCCCAACATTGATCAACATTTATTGAAAACATTGTTGTCAATATTGAGTAATGTTGAAATAATTTTTATTTCAACATTGAAACAACATTAATAAGATTAAAAACTGTTTATGGACTCAGCTCATCCTGAAAATCAAAATAAATATAAAATAGGCTTTTATTAAGTAATAAAGGGAATAAGGTTGATGCTAAAAACAAAATACTAAAAGAAAATTCTACCCAAACGGGTAGAAACAAAAATATCTTCAATTTAAATTAGAACTATTTTCTTGTGCGCGCCATTAAAACGCGCGCGGATGGATCTATCTATCTATTTAGCTAGCAGTAGCAGCTAGCAGCATCTAGCGGCATCTAGCACTAGCAGCACTATAACAGCATGGTGGCATCCATCTTCCATCATCGGCTCGGCACTCGGCAGCTCCAGAGCATCTTTCATTTCAATCAATCATCTCTAGTCCTAGTCTCTATTTCGTAATTTTTATTTCACTTACTTCACACCATGTTGCAATGATTGTATTTTCCCCTTTGCTTTGAGATTCTGATGTATAATAATACAATTATTTACGGCTGAATACAGTTTTTTAATGGTGGTCAACTTGAGATACCAGCTTTAAGGTAAGTGCATCTTGTTATCAAGTCAAGTTAAGTTTTGCATTCATAGTTACATATCAAAGTAGGCTAGGCTTGCACTCTAGTCGTAACTTAATAGAGCCAAGCCTAATTTATTAAAATCTTTTAACCTATAAATGCAGTACCAACTGCTAAGATTGATTGTTAACTTAACACACAAATAAAACATGTAAGTGTAATCGTATGCAAGGCTATGTAGGCTAAATAAGTTAGGCCTATAAGGCTAATATTTATAAGCAAACAAAAAAAAACTCATTTGAATGCTGAAAGAAAAAGTAAAACCTAGCCTAATCATTGAGATCATTGTGAATGCATTTGCCCAGAAAATTGAAGTTATAACTTTTTATTGAATAATTGAAGTTAATCATCTCATCTTTTTTACCTAAGTAACCTTAAGTTAATTTAGACGAAAATGCGTTTTCCTGTTTTGCCATTGCAGTTTAACCTTTGAAATAGCCTAGGATGTCAATATTATTTTACGTAAACTTAACATACTGAAGCCAATTTAAGCTGCAACTTCAAAGAAGGCTACAATTTAATTATCCTATGAATTGGTCAATAATTTGTAAATTTAAAGTAGGCCTAGGCCCAACTTACGTTAAGTTACCGTTGGCCTTTTTATAAGCGGAATAACTTAATAAGTTATTAAACCCTCCGAGTGTTATTTGTCGCAGCAGCGACTCACAAACACTGTTTACGTACGGCGAAGGCTCTATGACTGACAAAATCGGATTGAACTGGATCGAGTTAGGTATCGTTTTATTTCACAGATTTAGAGCTTTCTCCGGAGGTCTGTCTCTAAGCGCTATTCATTTTAGTTCCGAAAATATTGTAGCAGACAGCTGACGTGCGTATTTGTAAACAGCAGCGGTTAACCTCGGACCGATGACTGATGTGTTTTATAACGTTTATCATTGTTTTAGTGTTAAAAATCAAAAGTTAGTGATGTACGTGGTGCATTATAAGAAGATTTAAG